TCATTTGTACATCACCATAACTGTCACATGCCCCCCATTTGGTCCTCAGAACAACTCTGTAATGAAAGAAGGCAGGTAATGTTACGCTAACCTCATTTTACAAATAAAGAAAACTGAGACTCAGAGAATTTAAACCATTTGCTAGAGGATCCTTACAGAAGCCTCAAACATAGGCCAGCTGAGGAACTCCAAGTCTAGTGCTTGTTTTGTTATTGAAATTTACTGTCAATTACATGTTGGCTTCAATATAGCTTTGAAACATTTCTTTTCTTACCCTGTATAATCTGGTCTAAGTCTGAACTTTACTAAGTGTACTGAGCTCATGAAAGCATTATGTTCATGCTTGTGTGTGATATAGTAACTTATGTTTCTAATATAATAAGTTTATAATATAGAAACATATTTTCTAGAAATATTTATCTAAGACTGTCAAAAGGATACCCAATTTTGAATGATCAAGAAGAGTTTCTAATTATTACAAAAATTCTACTTAAATCCCAAAAGGAAAAAAAAAATGCCTAAGTTGGCAGTCTGTTAAGTTGTAATCGCCTTCTCCTTGCTTACATCCACTTAATGACACAGTATCATTGCCTTTCTGTCTTTAATTCCTCAGAATCTCCCTACCCAAATGCACTGCCATTACTAAAGCGCAGAATGATCTCACTTAGTAAACCAGCTTCTTGCCCTTTCATTAGGCCCTAATCTAAATTACGGTATAAAGACATAAGGTTCTGTACTCATGACTGGCTCCTGATAAAGGGCACTGGCTTGCCATGTGGCCTGATGAAGTCCTAGGACACAGAAGGATCTTTTTTGGATTTTATCAGTCAATTTATGTTGAGCCAGAAAAATAAAATATAATCTTTGGCCATCTGGTTCTGTAACACTCTGTATTTGTTTAGAAAGGTCATTGTTGTCAAGTTATTGAATGTTATCTCTGGAATTGACAGGAAGAGAGAAGTTTTTGAAAGCAGGCCAGGAATATTAAAGCACCGGATATTAAGGTGTAAAGTAGTAGTTAAAAGGTTGGGCTTTTAGTGTTAAACAAACTACTGTTCAAATCCCAACTCCATTACCTACTAGTAAGAAGTTATCTTGGGCAAGTCAGCAGCTTTCTATTTTTCTCACTGATAAAACATAGATAATGCCACTCTAGAAAGACAGTGCCTCTATAAAATGATACAACACATACATATCACTAGCTTATAGTTACCATTCAAAACATATTCTATAATTATTATGTGTAATTTGTGTCCTCAATTTAATTATGAACAAAGTTAAAATTTTCATTACTTTTATAAATACTTCTCCAGACAGAAGAGTAAAATTTAAACAGGCTCACAATTTATGCTACGCATATCTAATATGTGGGTTTAGAGCCTATCTCTAACAAAAACTTCAGTCCATCTTAAGCATTTAAGCAACATTCCTTCTTTCTTCATGAGCTTTATAGCATGTATTACTTTGTTGGTGGAATGACTGGTTTGCTGTGTCACTGAAGAATGAAGACTAAGCAATAGCAAATCCATAACTATTTCAGTGGAACTAGTACTGCTGTTACTAGACAATATACAATATCCTCATGATGTTATGCAATAGTTATTTTCTTTGCATTAGGTAGTTTTCAATTACTGTTTCACAGCAGTACTACCATCCAGCTATTGCAGTAAGGAGATGATTCATAATTGATTCAGACAGGCTATTTAGGCCCTTTCCCTTTGTGAGATTAGCAATGTAGTTAAAAATATACAAATAATTAAAACAAATATTTTAAAAAGCAGCTCAATCAAAACTCCATCCAGAATATAGCCAAAGAGCAATGTTTGCAATTCAGTAGGCCAGATTTCAGGATCTCAAAGGTGGGCACATATTCCACCTGCACTTTGACAGGAATGGCCATCAGGATGTGTTGAACTGAATTATCCCCACACATGACTGGTTTACCCAAAAATCAAAGTAGCACTATAAGACAGAGCAAAAGCCAGTCTCAGGCTGGGAAAGAACATTTTCATATGTTTTCTACTTCAAAAATTAGCTGCTACACATTTCCCTGTTTGGAGTCAAGAATAAAAAAATAAATTAATTAAATAAGTAAATAGAATAAAAGGCACACATCTTTCATATGAACCACAGGGTGGGTTCTCTGCTTTCTCCATAATACTGACTTAGGAGATCTGGGAGTAATTAAAAATAAATTTCATCTTATATGCATACATGCATGGCCCATGGACATAAACAAAAATATAGTGAAGGCCTGGGGTGAGGCAGGAGCTGGGTGGCAAATGTAAGAGAAATATAAAAACTGGAGTAAAGCATAAAATATAGAATAGTGTTCCCAATGTTAGCATGGAGGCTGTGTGGAAACATACACTGCTGAGTCCCATCCCGTGGAGTCTGATTCAGTAAGAATGGGCTAAAACCAAGAATTTTGCATGCTGAGAAATTCCCACATCATGCTGGTGCTACTGGTCTGGGAATCGCACTTTGAGAGCCACTCCTTTTCAATTGTCTAAATTTTTAAAATACATTAAAAAACAAAACGTAAACTGGAAATTATTTGTTATGAATGTAGATTTATGAAAGACTTGGAGTTCCAATTAGCAAACCTATATACTACGAGGAAAAGCCTTGGTCCTAATAAAAGGATAGTTAATTTATGTGTTAGTGAATCAAACATATCAGAAGATATCTCCTGTCAAATATTCAAATATGGTTCATAAAAGTACCACTAGAGCCCTCGCTGGGTGGCTCAGTTGATTGCAGCATTGTGCCATGCACCAAAAGATTGTGGGTTTGATTTCGGGTCAGGGCACATACCTAGGTTGCAGGTTCCATCCCCAGTTGGGGAGCTTATGGGAGGCAACAGATCAATGTTTCTCTCTCTCTCTCTTCATATCTCTCTCTCTGTCTTTCTCTCTCCCTCCTTCTCTCCTTCTCTCTCTAAAAATCAATGAAAACATATCCTAGAGTGAGGATTAAAAAAAAGTACCAGTTTGAAATGCACTTCACCTTCACTATTTGAAGGAAGGAAATTCAAATATGATAGGCTCCTTGGTTAAAAGGCTTCCTAAAAAACACACAAAACATATCCTAGAGTGAGGATTAAAAAAAAGTACCACTGAGTTTGAAATGCCCTTCACCTTCACTATTTGAAGGAAGGAAATTCAAATGTGATAGGCTCCCTGGTTAAAAGGCTTCCTAAAAAACACAAGCTCACAATATTAATGAAGCCTTAAAATAAAAGGTATCATTATATTCCATTTACAGATGAAATTTCTGCCTCAGAGAGGATAAGACACATCAAAAGGTAAATCAACCAACAAGTGGCAGAGTCAAAACTTTAATACAGATTCAAAGTGTTTCTTTTTTTGTTTCAACCTTACAATATTACAGTATAGTCTTTAAAAGAGTCAGAGAGGTTAGAAGCAACACTGAGATCCTAATTCAATCTAAGTGTATGCAAAACAGAAAATGCTGAAATATATATAGCTGTGAGAACTAAATGGATTATAAGCATTATATCTGTTAGTCTTGAACATAATCATAAACATCACCTATAAACTGTACATACTATTAAATGCCTAGACAGGATCATCAAATATAGGGCACTAGAAGGTAGCTGGTCTACCAGCATTGAAGCATAGTCTTTGGCAGCACAACTCCACTTAGCAAGACATCTGTGGAGATTGGCTGACAGCAAGGATCACGAGCAGATGCTGCATGGTAACAACCATATTCAGAGAAGAGTTGAAGAACACATTAGGTATACACTGAAGTCATACACTCAAAGATGTGGCATTTATGGGCTGCTTGGAAACCAGAGCAGATAAGCCAGCCCAGAGACAGCAATCACCATTATGATGATGCTATTAAGGCAAGTTTACCCTTAAAAAACAAAACAAAAACATTGGCCCCAAATGGTGTTCTAGTGTTTGAGGTCAGGGAGCAGTGTGAAGATTTGCAATAATTATAGGAAACCTCCTAAAATAACTATTCTGTTTCTTAAGAAAGTGAAAAATAAGTAAACAAAATAAAGGCCTTACATGTTAGCAGTAAGTTAAGAACCCAGGAATGATTAGGATGGCCAATATATATATTTTTTATTTCTTAAAAAACAGAATAACAAGTGTTGGTAAGGCTCTGGAGAAATTAGAACCCTTGTGTGCTGTTGGTGGGAATGTAAAATGATGCAGTTATTATAAAAAATAGTATGGAAGTTCCTAAAAAAATTAAAAACAGAATTGCTATACAATCTAGCAATCCCATTTCTGGACATACTAGTATATCCCAGAAGAATTAAAAGCAAGATTTCTAAGAGATATTTGTACACCCACGATCAATGTGGCATTATTCACAATAGCCAAGAGGTGAAAGCAACCTAAATGCCCATCGGTGGATGAATAAAGAAAATGTAGTATACAAATACAATTGAACATAACTCAGCCTAAAAAAAAAAAAAGAAGGGAATCTGTCATACGTTACAATATGGATAAACCTTGAGGACATTATGCTAAGTAAAATAAGACAGTCACAAAAACACTCACACTGCATGACTCCACTTACATAAAACATCTAAAGTAGTCAAACTCTTAGAAAGTAGAACAGTGATTACCAGAGGCTGAGGGAAAGGAGAAAAGGGAGTTATTCTTCAAAGGGTAGAGGGTTTCAGTTTGTAAGATGAAAAAGTTCTAGGGATCTGTATGCATATAGTTAACTCTATTGTACTGCACACTTAACAGTTAATAAGGTTTTAAAAAACTAAGAATGAAAATGTCTTGAAAACTCTGGTAAGGTTAATAGAAGTGTTGGAGAGGTTTAATATCACTGAAGAAAAAACAGTTTTCACCTGAGTAGATTAAGTTTAATCTTTGTCATCTCTTAATAATACCAATTTCTATAATGGTTTCAATCTATGGTCTAAATTTATAATTTATAATGAAAAGGAGGTATACCATATCAAAACTGTTCAGAGGTCTTTTAAAAATCTTACTTATTCTCACCCAGAGAGATGCTCCCAGTTGAGTGAGTCATCATTACTGATGCAACTATGCTTTATTCTTCAACTGTCCTGGGACTGAAAACAAATTGAGAATTTCATTTTTAAATGATAGTTTAACTCATTTGTAAGAAAATTCATTTAAAACACTTTTTCTATACTAAGAAAATTACATATATTGTTTGATATAAGTAAACTTTCTTCATACCAAAAAGCTAAACATGGGTTTAAGTTTCTATGCATATAAGATCACATCTCCACTGGGCTGGGCACCTTTGGAGAACAGAACCAATAATATATGAAAAGGCGGACAAAAAAAAATACTTCTCAAGACTTCTGAAATATTCTGCCCAGGACATTTCTCTTTTCAACAGCCCTTTTTTATGTGCATAACCTTTTTTCCCATTATCTCCTCTATCCTCCAAAGTCCTTTGTTCATCTTTCTCCCCCCACATTTTAGAGGAAGAAAATAACTAAATTTTCCATACTCAAATTTTAGAAACAAAATCAAAGGTATCTCTCATTTCTGTATACTGCTGTTTCATCTCCAGGGAAACAAAGCCACAATTCAAGAACTAGGGTTAATAAAATCTTTTTACACTGACTTGACTTTGGTGCATTTTTCTTATACCATATTTTTAAAATCTATTGACAAGTGTCTAGTAGTATCATAAAATTAAGTCCTTAAGAGGCTCCACGAATCAAAATGTTCTACTGGTAAAAATTATATAAATACATGATTTAATGTGAAAATTACACATTATAACCTAAGAGAATATTTCAGCTCTGTAATATGATATATCCCTTAATTCCTGCCCTTTTTGTGTTAGATATTTTCTAATGTACCTTTTTCATTCCTTGTTTGTCACTAATTTTTTTGTGTTATTTCCTTAAGTGAATGCCCTCGAATTTACAATTAGCATTTTAACCTAAAACATTCTAGTTTGAATTCCTATATAAATGTTTTTCCTGCAATATACCTCCATTCCCTTCCCTTTCTTTTTTTTAATTATTATTGTCGAACAAACTATATCTTTATATGTTATTTTTTTCTTACTGCTTTTAAAATTTCTTTCACTTTTGTAAATTTGACTATGATGTGTCTAACTGAGGATAGCACTATTTAACTTAAAGTACACTGAGTTATTTAATGTGTAGATTAATATTTTAAATTAAGTCTTCTGCCATTATTTCTTTTGGGACTTCAATTATGCATACGTTGACACACTTGATGACACCCCATAGATCTTGTTAAGCTCTGTTCATTTTTATTTTCTTACTATTCCTCACAATGGATAATCTCTAGTGAATTATCTTTAAATTGACAAATTATTTCATTTGTCAACTCCTATCTGTTAAGCCCAACTAGTAAATTTTCATTTCAGTTATTATACTTTTAAACTTCAGAATTTTCATATGGTACTTTTCCAATAATTTCTATGTTGATTGATATTCTCTTTAGCAAGACATCATTCTTATACCTTCCTTTAATTCTTTACATGGTATCATTTAGTTCTTTGAACATATTTATAAAAACTGACTTAAAGTCTGTCTTATTAAGCCCAGATCCGAGATCCCGATGGGACATTAATTCTTTTAGCAGATTTTTGTGGTTTTCTTTCCTATGTGGCATACTTTCCTATTTCTTGCATGTCTCAATTTTTTGTTCAAAACTGAACATTTTAGATAATGTATTTTAACAACTGTAGTATGAAATTCTCCACACTGCCCCACCAAGATTTTTTAACAGCGATTTTGTTTTTATTGATGACACTACAAATAGTTTAGCACTTTTATGAACTAATTTTGTAGAGTCTGTGTTCCCTGTAGTGTGCTGGCCACTGAGCTCTCTACTAATTTTTTTTAAGTTCTATTTTTATTTTTAAGCCTGCCTTTTTAGGAGTCACACTAGGTCAGTATAACTTAGTGGTCAACCAATGATTGGTTAGAGGATTTCCTTAAATGTTTGCCTGTATGTCTTCCATTATTTGCCCAAGGAATTTTTATGGGTAGTCACACCTTTGAAATGCAGACAGTTTATAAGACAGCCCTAGCTTTCTTTTCCTACTTACATAAAACCTCAGCCATAGGTGATCTCCTTCCCCAGGTCTTTCCTGGGCAGGTGCACAGCTGTGCACATTGTGCAACCTTTCAGATCCCCAGGAATACGTTGGAGCTTTTCCAAATTCCCTAGGGTTGGCTAATTCTCCAAGATTTCCTTTTAAAATCCTGGGCAGACACTTGTTTGCCCCAACTGAAATCACAGCCTTAAGCAGTGGATATGTTGCCAACAGTTGCTATTGTTTCAGCAAAGCCCTGATGGGCCTCTTCTTCCCCCAACTGGGCTGAGCTCTGAGTCAAATCAAATAGTCAACCACTCTCTGAGAATAGAGTTTTCCCAGGGAGCTGCAAGCTTGGACAACATATCAACTGTGCTTTGGAGCTGGTGTTTTTAATGAATATCCAAAAGTGGTCAGATCTCTCCACTGTCTGGTCTGTAATGCTGCCAGCTTTTGCTATATCACTAAGCTGGGGAAAGAGGAAAGATGGAAATCGCCTCAAGTTAAAATGTCACAGGCTCCACTGTCTTCTCATGGTTCAGTAGTTTTCTCTTGGGCCATGGATTTTCAGTTCATTCTCTGGTTAACTGCCAGAATTCTGAAATGGTTGGTTGTAATTGTTTTGTCCATGTTTTTGTTGTTTGAGCAAATAAAAGGAGGCCCTCCTTACACCAATGTGAAAGCCAGTCAATCTCTGGAATTTTAAGTCTATCTTCTTGTAGTTTTAAACACAAAAAGCATTTTAACAAAAAATTTGTTTAAAAATTTATACTTATAAATTTTTGGACCATTGATTCTTATCTCTAGTAGAAACATGAAAAAAAACTATATTTCAATATTTAAAGTTCAATAGTAGAGACTCTATTCTCTGAGAGGAAAAAATAAACTGCATGAGCAATGGCTCAATATATTCCCTGCTAATTAATATGTAAATGATCAAAAATAAGGTGACTCCTGGTCTTAGATCCACTTTCAGCCCCAAAAGACTTGCCCAAGTCTTTTCTGGATAACAGAAATAAGTGCAAGTGAGGAAGAAAGACTACTCCATCTTATCTTACCTGGCTGACCCAGGCCAAATCCAACAACTCTGACAGGGAGAGAAGAATCACAAAAGACTGAGAGGGAGAAACTTAACGGAGAAGAGGAATCAGAGCCCTGAACATAGACAGCAACCCTATAGCCTGAGATCTCTCTGAAGAGAATCAGTATGGAGAGATTGGTTTACCTCAGATTCACCCAAGTATCAGCCAAACCCATGTAGTTGTGGTAGAATAAGGTGAGCTTCTGTAAAGGAAAAGAATTATTTATTACTATTATCTCTCTTCAATATTGCATGATATTTGCAAGCCATGAAAAGACCAAAACTGTCAAAAGAGGACAAGCAAAGTAAATATCCTTTAGCAAAACTTTTGTTTTCAAGAACACTGTTATGCTTCTTTTGCTTTTTTTATTGTTGTGTAACAAACCGCCCCCAAACTTACTGGCTCAAGAAAAATAACCATTTGTTTGTAATGCTGCACGCTAAGCTGGGCTTACCTAGGCACTTCTGATTCTCCTGCTGATGGTTACTCGTGATTACTTTCAGCTGGCAGGGGGGAGGTGGGCTCAGCTAGAACACTAGGATAACTAGGTTGCTATTTCCATGCAATCTCAGGGCCTCTCTGTCTCCATGTGACCTCTTTTCCAAATGGTGTCTCTGGGAAGGTAGCCAGATTTCTTACATGATGATTCAGGTCTCCCAAAACACTAAAGCCAAAACGAGGTGGCCTTCTTAGGGCTTACATCCAGACCTGGAGGAGTTTAATTCTGTGGCATTCTGTTTTGTAAAATAAGCTATTGGCCCAGTCCCGATTGAAAGGAAAGGAACTTCACATGGGCATGAATATCCAGAGGTGTGATTCACTATAACCACCATCAATGTTACAGAACAGCAATTTTCAGCTGGTATGCTGCAGAGATTTCTGAAACATGCAACACCTAACTAGTCAGGGGTACTGACCTCTTTTCCCTTAGATTGTCAAATAAAAAAAAAAAAAAGACCACAATCAATACAACAATAGCTATCCAGTATGAATGCCCTGTCTTGAACCATAAATACATAGGTCATATAATACAATTGCATCTTATTGGTCACATCACATAATAGGGTTGCATCTGATTAGCTAATTCTTGGTACAAGAAATCCTTATATACAAGTATAGGCAATTGATTTTTAGAAAGTCACTTTGGAGCAAAAAAGGTAGGTTAATTACTAGTTTTTTTATATCAATCAAAATTATACGTATGTTTTTATTAGATGAGCAAAAAATATATTTTTTGGTGTGCTGCAAAATTTTAGTAATTAGTTTGTGTGTGCCATGAGATTTTTTAAGAAAGGTTAAAAATCACAGCTATAGGGAGCATTTGAGATCTTGCTCCCAAGCATATATTATCAGATAAACGTTTCCTTCCTCCCTCCCTCCCTTCCTTTTTTAAATCACTGCCATAGACAACTAAGACATTAAGGCCAATGTTCACATGACTGAAATGGGAACAATACAAAGAACTATAAAATGGTTAAAGCTAAATGAAGACTGGGCAATTATAGTCAAACTAGAGGCCCAGTGCATAAAATTCGTGCACTGGGGGTGGGTGTCCCTAAGCCCAGCCTGCACCCTCTCCAATCTGGGACCCCTCAGGCAGTCGGACATCCCTCTCGCAATCTGGGACCACTAGCTCCTAACTGCTCACCTGCCTGCCTGCCTGATCGCCCCTAACTGCTCTCCCCTGCCCACATGATCACCCCTAATTGCCACTGTGGCTTTTTCCAGAAAGATGTCCAGAAGACGTCCGGTCTAATTAGCATATTACCGTTTTATTAGTATAGATTCCATTCTCTGTGCCTTCCCATACTGAGCGTCAATCTAGATTCAGTGAGAATCTTAAATATAGGTGGGAGAAAATATGAACCTGATTAATCACTTATAAGCCATATGACCTTGGATAAGTCAATCATCCTCTGTAAGTTTCAGCTCCTCAGTTGTAAAATGGAAAAGTATACAGGCCCTGCTTATGTTAAAGGAAAACTGTATGGAACAAATAAGACAAGAAATGAGTAAAAAGCTTTGAAAACTAAACTGCTATACAAAAATAAGAAAGTATTATTCATCTAACAGATCCTAAGTATAGTCAACCTAGGTAGGCTCTATTCTCTCTATTAATCCTATCTAATAAAGAGGGAATATGCTAATTGACCCTCACGCCATCACAAAGATGGCAGCGCCCACAGCCAATAAGGAGGGAATATGCTAATTGACTGCCATGCCCTCAAAGATGACGGTGCCCACAGCCACAAGATGATGGTGCCCAGTCCCCTCAGCCCCGCCAGGGTGGCAGGCGGGCCCGGCCTTGCCGCACTCCTGCCTCCAGAGTCTCCCAGTCCCCTCAGCCCTCCAGTCGTCCAGGGCCAGCCTGAGGCGCAGGTAAGCCATGGATGTCAGCTGCCCAGCTGCCCAGGGCTGGCCCGAGGCGCAAGCAAGCCTCAGCTATTGGCTGCCCAGCCAACCAGGGCTGCCCGAGGCTCAGGTAACCAGGGCCGGCCGAGGCTTTTGCTGCCGGCAGTGGCAGCAGCAGAGGTGTGATGGGGGCATCACCTTCCCCTGATCGCTGGGTCGCCTCCTGCCCCTGAGGGCTCCCGGACTGTGAGAGGGGGCAGGCCGGGCTGAGGGACCTCCTTCCAGCATGAATTTTCATGCACCGGGCCTCTAGTAAAATTATAATAACCATAGTTAATTACCCCATATGCTAAATTACTACCACAGCAATGATATTATATAGCAGTGATGGCGAACCTTTTGAGCTCGGCATGTCAGCATTTTGAAAAACCCTAACTTAACTCTGGTGCCGTGTCACATATAGAAATTTTTTTTTATATTTGCAACCATAGTAAAACAAAGACTTATATTTTTGATATTTATTTTATATATTTAAATGCCATTTAACAAAGAAAAATCAACCAAAAAAATGAGTTTGCGTGTCACCTCTGACATGCGTGTCATAGGTTCACCATCACTGTTATATAGTATAATAACAGGCTAAAAGTACCCTATGTTCTGTTACTATAAAGAATAACAACACCAACACTAAATGTTTATTGTTGTCTGATTATATGTCAGGTGCTCTTAGATACTTCAGGTAAACTATAATCCTTACAATAAGTCAACAAGGTAGGTATTATCCCTCTTTTAAAAATAAATAAATTGAGTCAAAATACTGATTAGTTAAGTAAACTGCCCTGGTCACACAGCAGTAAATAGAGAAACCATTATGAATTTTTAATATATAATAGGTACTTAAACATTTGTTGTCTAAGTTAAAGAACAAATAAATAAAGCCAGGACTGTCTGACATTTAAAGTAAGGAGTCTTTCAACTATAGTAAAATATCTCCCTCACATAATTTCTATTTTATATGCAGCAATTGAAACTGTAATCACAGCAAACATATATAATTACATGAGCAATTCATCACCTTTATCATCTGCAAAAATTGTTTCCTGTCTAAAAAGTATCTTCATTTTTTTAAAGGTCTAATCCTTAATCCATCTACCAAGTCATTATGAATTATAACGGTCATATTAAAATGTGGAAATACCAAGTGGAGAAGTGATACCAACGTATCTCTAAAATAAAACAAAAAACAGCAAATATTTTTAAATGGCAAAATACGTGCATTATGAATGACAAATAAAAGTTCACATCCTTATATTATGAAGAGGTCTTAAAATTTAAAAGGAGGAGGAGGAACAAAAGAAACTGCCCAACAGGAAAATGGGCTAAAGATATAAATGGATAGTCAACAAAAAAATACAAATGGTTGATAAACATGCTTTTAATTTTTTTTAGTCATTCATTATTTAAAAATGCAAATCAAAGTGAGATTTTTATTCAGCTATCAGATTGGCAAAAATACAAAAAAAAAATTTACAAAGATTGATCATGTCCAGTGTTAGAGAGCATACAATGGTATGACCTTTCTAGAAATCAATCTGCTAGTTGATAAAAACATTCAAAATGTGCCCAGATCTTCTAGCCAGCGATTCCATTCCTAAGAATTCATATAAAGGAAATAAATACCTGCACAAAGATGCACATACAATTAATCATAATATCAATACAAGAGACCATCCTAAATGTCTAGAGAATTGCTTAAATTGACACATTCATATAATGCCAATAAAGAGATAGAAAATGTTATTACCATGAAAGGATGTTTAAGATATGATTATCAAAGTTAAACAAATTTTATGACCCAATTTTTTTAAGGTTTGAATTTGTAAAGGAGAGCAAATGCATGAGCAGAAGCACAGCCGAGAGCACCAATGTGAGCACAGATGCACTCACTACGACATGGAATCCTGAGAAAATGTGACAGTAATCTCGTGAGCAGATGTGTAGTCATCATCAAGCAGAATGATGATGGTATTTTTTTGCTTTTTGCTTTCTTCTTTCTATGTAACTTTCTGAATTTTCAGAATGTTTTACAATGAGCATATGTAATTTTTGTGATCATAATACAATAAAATTATTTTTATTTAAAACTAGAGGCCTGGTGAATGACATTTGGGCACTGGCGGGGGGTGGGGGGGAGGCAGGTTCCCTCAGCCTGGCCTGCACCCTCTCACAGTCCGGGACCCCTCAGGGGATGTCCGACTGCCGGTTTAGGCTCGCTCCCTCCACCACCAACTCTGTGCTCGCCAGCCGTGAGCCCGGCTCCTGTGGGAGCACACTGACCACCAGGAAACAGCCCCTGCATTGAGCGTCTGCCCCATGGTGGTCAGTGCACGTCATAGCAATCAGTTGTTCCGCCACTTAGTTTATTTGCATATTAGCCTTTTATTATATAGGATGATGTCAACTGTCATAAACCCGAGGTCCCATAAACTTTCAAGTGTTATTACTTTAATGTAAAATGCTAATTAAAAATCAGTTGATGTGGATACCAAATGAAAATATATATTTATTCCTTTCAAATGATAAATTCAAAATCAAGTAGTTTCTATCCACAAATCATTTGAATTTATGATTTCTTTAAAAATGTCACTTCTGCCCTGGCCTGTTTTGCTCAGTGGATAGAGCGTCGGCCTGCGAACCGAAAGGTCCCAGGTTCGATTCCAGTCAAGGGCACATGCCCAGGTTGTGGGCTTGATCCCCAGTGGGGAACTTGCAGGAGGCAGCCAATCCATGATTCTCTCTCATCATGGATCTCTCTCTCTCTCTCTCTCTCTCTCTCTCTCT